TTTTTTGCCATTTTTATAGAACTTCAATTCATTTTTAATTTAATTATGTTAAAATTGATGTTAACAAATGAAATTTTTATATTTATTATCTAGTAATGAAATGCCTAGTAACTTAGTATCAAGAAAAATCAAACACAGTCAATGGCAAACCAGCAAATAGACAATTGCTATGCATAATGGAGCATCTTATAGGAGCAGCTAAAATTTATTTTTACAGACTTTGAAGTATTCCAGACTTGCAGAACAACCAAGTGATGAGAATTCAATACAATTTCTTTTACAAAAAAAAAGGGCATAATCATGTAAATATCAAACTGACAATCGCTCGCATCATTAAACTTTAGACTATTTACTCCAGATAATTATTTTCTTTTTCTATCAACTTTACTCCAAATAATCTACCACGTTTATTTTGAAATTTCTAGCATCATCTGCAGAATTAAATAAATTAATACATTCAGATTTTAATTACCTCTTTGCTTTATCATACAACACATAAGAAGAGAGGAGAAAAACAATGCAACGAGAAAATAAGCACAAAACACAATCTTTGATGGTTGCTTCAGCCTTGACTTCTTGATGTTGGTGAGTCACCAAATAAAATTCCTGAATTTTCAAGATGAAGGACATGTAGATATAGAGATGGAAATTAACATTCCCCTTCTGGCATAATTAATAAACAACATACCTATAAAACCATAGGCAATTGGACCATTGAGTTCACACCAAAAGACTATGAGCACATGCAATTGCAATTAGAACTTAGAAGTACCCAAACAGCGGAAAAACTGATGAAAGTAAATCGAAACGGCAAAAATAAAGATCCAAAATCATATCTCGGACAACTTCTAGTTCTCAAATTGATCCCACGAGGGCAGACGGTAAATCGAAAAAGGTCACCGAATTAATCAATCAGTTGCCGGAGCTGGTACTGGGCCCACAGTCATCCTTGCGATCATGACCACAAGAGCGGTGGTTATGGTGATGATCGTCGTCGCTGTCATCTTCGTCGAAGGGTTTTTGTTTGTGGAAGATGCAGCATTTCTTAGAACTCTTCTTGTTCATAAACTCATTATCCACGGTCCCCTCTTTCCAAGTCACCTTCTTCTTCCTGGAGCGCAGTTGGAGAACAAGGGTTTCCGGAGGTTGTGTCGCAGTTGGAGTGTTTTCGACGGTCACCATCGTGGTAACAGATGAGGAAGATGAGGAGGTCGAAGGTGTTGATCTTGTCGCTGCGGCAATGGATCGCTGCGGCCATGGAACAGAGGAAATCGGGAGATGGAGAAGGAAAAAAATGGGTTTGGGTTATAAATGAGGAGGTATAGGAAATCGGCAGATAAGGAAAAAATGGGTTTGGAATATAAATGAGGAGGTATATATAGTGGTTTTGTCGTAAATTTATTAAGATATAAAGATAAAATAGGTATAACATGTCAATTTCATTAATTGGAAGCTGGAAGCTCCCGCAAAAGCTTCAAATTCCTTATTTCTCAATTTTCAAAAGGTGGAAGCTAACTTTTGCTTCCCGGGAGCTGAAGCTCATTTCAAAAGTTAGGGTGTTTGGTGCATCTGCACCTTTTGGACTTCAAAAGTTCTTCCGACTACGGGTGTTTTCTCTCCCTCTCTACGAAACGCTCTCTCCTGCTAGCGTGGACACTCTCGTTGTGCCCAAAAGCCTAACCCCATGTGAGCACGTGGACTTTGCATGTGGTACTTCTCTTCACCGGCCCAAAAGCCAATTGTGGGCTAGCATTGTTTTGTTGAAATCATTGCTTCTAAATTGCATGATGAACTCATTTAACGAGGCAAAGAAAAAGATATGAACTGATTGTTGAATTTTTAACTATAAATACCTATGCATGCAAAGGCATCAAGCAAGTAAGAGTGAGGGAAAGCAAGAGGAATTAAGAAGAGCTAAATGAGTGAGGGCTCTTATGAGGAAAAAGAATTAGAAAAATTGTGAGATAATTTTTGTGAAGATTAAGAGAATATTAAAGGAATTTGGGAGTTTTTATATATTGAAAATAGGGTGTTAAGAATTTCTTGAATAAAAGAATTTTTAAATTATTGCACTTTTTTTTTAATAGTGGATTCATTTTTTTCTTTCCCATCGTAGATTTATTGAAAATATACAAGTCGAATTATGTTAAATTATTGTCTCAATTTCTTTATCACTTTCATTTGTGTGGAATTTT